AAGAGATCAAAGAAAAATGGAAAAGACCTATAAGTACAAAAATATTTACAGCAACTATTTTTGTGGTGGCAAAGAGTTGAAAATTGAAGGGATGCTCATCAATTGGGGAATGGCTGAATAAATTATGGTATATGATTGTGCTGGAGTGCTCTTGTGTTATAAGAAATGACAAGGGGGGAATGGTTTCAGAAAACATGGGAAAACCTATATGAACTGATGCTAAGTGAAGTGAACAGAACCAGGAGATTGTTGTATACAGTAACAGTATCCTTGTAATGATGATCAACTGTAAAAGACTTAGCTATTCTGATAATACAATGATCAAAGACAATTCCAAAGGACTCCTGATGAAAAATGCTATCCACCTTCAGAGAGAGAACTGATGAACGCTAAGTGCAAACTGAAGTATAATTTTCTCACTTCCTTTATATTTTTGGGGGGTTTTTTTTGCAACAGGACTAATACAAAAATATATTTTACATGATTTCATATGTGTAATTGATATATTGCTTGCCTTCTCAGTAGGTGAAATAGGGGCTGAAGGGAGGGAGAGAATTTGAAAATAAAAAATTAAAAATGTTTAAAGTAAATAAATAATAAAAATTTTTTTAAAATAATCTGATCATTAAGTGATTAAATGGAACTGGAGTTCAGGGAACCCCTAAAATTAGGATGACACAATCAGTGGAGGCTTGAACCAGTAGCAGAGACTAGACTTTCCCTAATCCCCTTAAGGGTACTAAAGAATTGGTGGGGGTGGGGGGGGTGGGGGGGGAGGTGTTGGGGGAAGAAACATAACAGAACCAGCCTTCAGGCAATGCAGACCAAACTGTTACTGGTACATAAGTAACAGTGCATGTACTTGCATTTTATGCATCGATATCAGCAGGCTCATATAAACCTCATAGCAGCGTACCAAAACAACTGCCAGGCACTGTTTTTGAGTATTCTCAATGATCACTGAAAAATCACGGGAAGCAGAAATACTGCAAAAATTGGCCCAATATTCACAAAGGGAACAAAATCGGCAAACTGTAGATAACCAGGGAATCAAATGTCATTCCTGGCAAAATTCTAAAACGTTTTATTAAAAAGGATGGTTAGTGAATGTCTAGGAAAGACTGCAACCATTACAAAAAACAGTGTGGTTTCATTTAAAACAGATCATACCAGTTTAACTTAATTTCCTTTTTTTGAAAGTATTACTAGACTAGTAGATTGGACATTTGCTGTAGATACAATTTACCTAGACTTTGGCAACACATTTGACAAAACTCATTCCATCCTTGTGAACAAAATTTAGAAACAGGGACTAAACAATAGTATAGTTAGATACCTTTGGAACTGGGTAAGTGACTGTATCCAAAGAGTCATTAAAATTTTGGTGTCAAATTTGGATATAGGTCTCTGGAGGAGTGATCCCAAGGATCATTCTTTGGCCCTGTGATGTTTGTTGTTTTATTCATTGCTTTGGATAAGAAGAGATGGCACGGTTATCAAATTTATAGATAAGAAGCTAGGAGGGGTAACTAACCTATTACTGCATGACAGAGCCAGGATCCAAAAAAATATTTCAACAGGCTAGAAGTTCGGGGCAAATCTAATAAAATGAAATTTAATAGGATAAATGTAAAGCCTTAGATTGGGGTTCAAAAATCAATTTCTTAAGTATAAAATGGAACAGAGTGACTAGACAACATTGCATCTGAAAGAATGATTTGTAGATCTTGGTGGTCTTCTAACTCAGTATGACCCAACGGTGTGATATGGTGGCCAAAAAAGCTAATATTATTTTCTTTTTGGGGTGGAAGGGATCTGGATCTATTAGTTTTTAGGATTTCATTAGTTTGAGTATCCCTCAGTATGGAAGTTCTCTGTGGACACAGATCAGCATGTCACCGGTAGTTTGTAGTCGTAGAGTTGCCTGGGTTAAGTGATTTGTCCATGGTCTCACGGATAGCATGTGACTGGAAGGACTTAGAACCAGGTTTTCCTGATTCCAAGGCTATCCCTCTGTCCAAATATCACATTGACTCTGAATGTTATTTGAGGCTGAATTAAGAGAAGAATGGTGTCCAGGATTAGGAAACTGGTCATCTTCCTACACCTTTGTGGAGCTACTAGTGCTCTTCCTTTCATTTGCCCAGGCTTGGTTTCAATGCTCTCCAGAGAAATTAATCCTTCAATATTCCATAAATTCTCATTATTCTCATCAGTGATACAAAATAAAACACATGGAGCTCAGGACCCTGGCCCATCTACCTTGATGGCTCAGCAAAATGTTGACCCCCAGGCAGTGCAAAGTAGGCCATCAAATCCACAAAACCAGACTCCAAGTCAGTAAAGACTCTCAGCATTTTTGAGAGTTTGAACAAGTGATTTAGGATGGACAAAATATCCTGTTGCAAGGAGGGAATAGCTTTCTTCTTCCCTATCTTGACTCATTGACCCCCCTTCTCACCTTTGGACATATAGGAATGGTTGTTTGCAATAACTCTTTTCCTCAGAATGCTTCCTTAGGGCTCATGTGGTCCCTGGAGTCCTGGACCAATGGCATCACTTTCCAAGAGACCCTTAGGAAATTGTGCTAATGCCTGATGATGCTCTGTGAAGCCCTTCAGTGTCTTGTTTTTAAAAATCAATGTTCTTTTAAATAAACAGAGGCTGTGCTGCTCTTTTAATGGTTAAAAAAAGCTCACATTCTGTCTGTATTAGGGTCAATTCTGGAAGCTACATTTTAGAAGGGACATTGATAAGCTAGAATGTGTCCAAAGGAAGGCAAACAGGATGTGGAGTGCCTACAAGGTCAAGCCTTATGAGGATTGTTTGAGGGCACTAGGACTGTTTAGTCTAGATAAAACACAATGGCTGACTTCAAATATTTGAAGGGCTCTCATGTGGAAAAGAGATTACTCTTGTTTTGCTTGGCCCCAGAGACAGAACTGGGAGCCATGACAGAAACCACATAGAGGCAGATTTCAGCTTAATATAAGGGAAAATTTCCTTAACAATTAGGAAGGAAGGAAGAAGAGAAGGAAGCAAGCCCTTCTTAAGTGTTTACTATGCACCAGGCATTATGCTAAGTGCTGGGGATACAAATACAAGCAAAATGAAAGACAATCACTGACTTCAAAGAGCTTACATTCTAATGAGTTAGAGCTACTAGGGTGAATCAGGAGAGAAAAGGGGGTAGGGAATTTCCCCATTATTAGAGGTTTCCAAGCTAGAAGGCTAAATGTCCATTTGTTGGAGGAGCATGCTTGTTCTGGTATGTACTAAATGGACTAGAAGTCCTTTGAGGTCAACTTGGAGATGCTGTAATTCTGATTCTATCCTTACCATCATTATTGATGTTCGTATGGAGCAGCTAGGGGACGCAATGGGTAGAGTACCAGGCCTAGAGTCAGGAAGACTCATTTTCCTGAATTCAAATCCAGTCTCAGATACTTTCTAGCTATGTGACTCTGGGCAAGTCACTTAACCCTATTTGCCTCAGTTTATCTGTAAAATGAACTGGAAAAAGGAAATGGCAAACCACTCCAGTATCTATGCCAAGAAAATCCCAAATAGGGTCAGGAAGTGTTAGATGTGACTGAAACAACTGAACAACAACCACAATCTTCCATGGATAAAGTAAAAATAATTAGGTCCTCTGAGTGCAGCTCCTTGAATTCTTTAAAGGAAGATACTTTCTAGGTTTACCTTTAATAAGCACTGGGGAGATGTTGATTTTTGGGATGAAAAATCATCACACTGGCAAGATTTCAGCATTGTAGGGAGAATTCATAACTCACATCTATTAAGGTTTATAAAGGAAGACTTTCGTAAGTCAACTGTCTACAAATGCAAGGAATGTCAGAGGTAGAAGGGCCATTAGAAACCACCTGCTCTAACCCTCTTATTTTATAGATGAGAAAACTGAGACCCAGAGCATGGGAGTGTTTTGCATAAGATCACAGTTTGTTCCAGGCAGAGCTGGGCTTCTGATAGGCTCTTTGTTGTTGTTGTTGTTATTGTTAAATTAAATTTTATTTTGTTTTCAAATAAATATCCCCATTCTCTCCCTCCTGCCTCCCATCTTCTGCACTGAGAAAAAAATATATGACTGGTTCCTTGTATGGCACTGCCCAGACACAAAGTAAAACTACCGGAACACAGTTCATATTAAACTTGTCTTTGACTATTAGGATAATGACTCTTTTACTGGAAGGTTTTTCACACACACACACATATACAGATCTGGAGAGCAAGCAAGATGTCTCATAACCCAATTTGTTTTTCTATTTAATTATGTGAAATCTTCTATGAAAATACAGAGACAGGGAAAACTCCTGGCCTAATTGCATCAAAATAGGCCTTAGTGCAATGGAGCAAAGCCAGAAGCAGCTAATGCCCCATATTTCTTGGTGTTAGGAATTTTCATGCCATGCAACCTGTTTTGAGCTTTGTTTTTTTTCTTTGCATGATCACAAGGAGTTCATCTTAATGGGAGGGAGGGGTCCATAAGAAAGGGTTAGAGGATTGACTCTCCCAACTCAAACTATAAAGGCCATCATCAAGATTGACTGTAGATAGACTTGGCTCTTCACAGCAGTGCAAGAGTCTAAGACAATTCCAAAAGATTCACGATGGAAACTGCTATCCACATCCAGAGAAAGAACCATGGAGTCCAAATGCAGATGGAAGCACACTATTCGCTCTCCTTTTCTCTTGTTGTTTTGTTTTATTGCTTCATTCTCATGGTTCCTCCCGCTAGTTCTAATTGTTCTTTATATCATGACCAATGGGAAAATATGCTTACTATGAATATGCAAGTAGATCCTCTATCAGATTGCATGCCATCCTGGGCGGAGGTATGTTTTGGGCTTTTTAAAGTAACTCTTTTCTTATAAGACCTCCCCATCCAGCCCACTTTGCAGTTGTGATCACCAAGCCAGGTGATACATAGCAACTGCAGCATTCCCATGATGTTGGGTTAAATTAATTCTCAGAGCTCAATAAACATAACAAGATTTTTATTGCTAGGATTGCCTTATAGGAAGGTTACCAAGGTTAAGCTTGGACAAATATATAAAAAATACAACACACTGTACACGCACGTCATTTTCTCAAATAAGCAAACATACAGAAGATTTCCTAGCAATCCTTCCCCTCCCCATCCCATCTTATCATTGCACATGCATATTTCATGGGCAGCAACTGCATTTATTCGATCCTCCTTTGCAAATACATCCTTGGGCACATTTGGCACAACCAGGTGGGCAGCAGGGACAGCAACCTGAAAGGAAATGATAAAAAAAAGCAGATCTCAGCCTTGGGTCAGTCTTTCCACTCAGCCTTGGGAACGAAATGTCAGTTCTTAGGGGAATCAGGGCTTAAAATGTGTGTAGGAAAATACATGGGAACAGTTCCCCTGAATTGAACACCATTTAACCTGATGACATCCCAACCCTGACCTTGACTCCCTACCCGTGACCACTCAAACTATTACTATGACCTTTACTTCACAAACATGCTCATGACCTCTTATTAGAAATTCACAATTAAAGAAGTAAGAGGATGGGGAGACCACTAATCAAAACTTGCATTTCCTAGTCAATCATCATGATTCAAACCTCAGAATCTGTCAAGCAGAACACTATTCTGATCATGATTCCTCCAACTACAACCTCACCATGCCCTCAATCCCTGATCATGATACCCTCAATCTGACCATGACACTTCTATCATGCTTATAGCTTCCAAATCTTAGCCATGTACCCCCAATAATCATTCACATATTATGTCATTTTAAGATTTACAAATTACTTTCCAGTCCTGATTGTGACTTCCGCAAAACTGACCATGACCCCTACTCCAACTCTGACCTTAACTCCCTTCCTCAAAATTCTAACTATTGCCCTTTCCTGTCAATCCCTGTTTACCACTGCTACTACCACTACCACCATTTTGGGTTTTGGGGCAAGAGTGACAGTGAATAGAAAGAGGGAGGAGAGATAAGGGAGGATTGGTCCAGAACAGATTATATCTACTCAAAAGTGCCAGTAAGAAATGAAACCACCCAGGAGAACTGAAGGTCATTTGGGCCCAATTTCCCTTACACTTCTAGTACAAAAGGAAATATAGGTATCTTCAGGTTGGCTGGGACTTTGGGGCAGGGGAGAGGAAGCATGAATATTTGTGTTCTTGTTTTCTGATTGACTCATATTTCAGTCCAACACTTCTGAGGCCTATGAAAAACATTCCAGGGACTATGCCCAAAGGGCTATAAAATCATGAATACCCTTTGACCCAGCAATACTACTACTAGATCTATTTCTCAAAGAGATAATAAAAAAGGAAAAGGACCTATATATACAAAAATATTTATAGCTACTCTTTTTGTGGTGGCAAAGAATTGGAAATTAAGGGGATGTCCATCAATTGAGGAATAGCTGAACAAGTTATGATATAAGATTGTGATGGAATACTATTGTTCTATAAGAAATGATGAGCAGAATGGTTTCAGAAAACCTGGGAAGACTTACATGAACTGATGCAGAGTTAAGTGATCAGAACCAGGAGAACATTGTACACAGTAACAACAATATTGTATGATAATCAACTGACAAGAATTAATCATCAATTAATTAATTAATCATCATTAATCATCAATCTTTCACAAGAATGACTTAGCTATTCTCAGCAATACAATGATCCAAGACAATTCTGAGGAACTTATGATGAAAAATGCTATCCATCTCCAGAGAAAGAGCTTATGACATCCAAAGGCAGATCAAAGCATACTTTTTTAAAAATAATACATTTATGTATTTATTTTTAGTTTTCAACATTCACTTTCATAAAATTTTGAGTTCCAAATTTTCTCCCCATCTCTCCCTTTCCCCCACCCCAAGACAGCATATAAATTCATATAGGCTCAACATATACATTCATATTAAACCTATTTTCACATTAGTCATGTTGTAAAGAAGAAATAGAACCAATGGGAGAAACTGTGAGAAAGAAGAAACAACAAAAAAGAGAGAGAGAGAAAGAGAGCAAATATGTCAAAGCATACTTTTTAAAAACTTTATTTTTCTTTTTGGTCTGTGTTTTCTTTCACAACACGACTAATATGGAAGTATGTTTCGCATGACTGAATATGTATAACCTCTATCAAATTGCTTGTTTTCTCAATGAGGAATGTGGGGAGGGAGAAAAATTATTTGGAACTCAAAATTTTAAAAAATGAATGTTAAAAATGTTTTTACATGTAATTGGGAAAAATACTGAATAAATAATTTTTAAAAAGAAAGAAAGAAAAACATTCCGGGGATCTCTGCTTCATTCTCGCTTTGGGGGGAGGTCACACAAAAAAGTTCCAGGGATTTAGGGAAAGAAGCAAGAAGGACAAAGGGGGAGAAGAAGGGAAGGAATCATTTCTATCTTTTTTTCCCATATTAAGCCATCATTTTCTAGCGTCATATTTGGGTGAAAAGGGGAATTAGAAGCAGTTTCATACAGAGGAAATCAAAGATGAGAAATTGTGGGTTCCAAGAGAAAAAAAAGAATGGAATATCAGAGCTGGAAAGGACCTTAGAGGTTATGAATGTAAAATCCCCTTGTTCTACAGGGTAGACAATAAGACCTAGAGAGGAGAAATGACTTGCTGGTGTTACATAGCAAAAGAATGGAAGAAATGGAATTGGAATGTAGATCTTCCTCTCTACTAAGTTATACTGCAAATGAACCACACAAGGGTATAACTGAGTCTACACTGGGCCTTTGGACTATGAACCCAGAATTAATTGGTGAAAAGGACCACATATGGTACTGTACTCACTTTTCCGACATGTCTTACAGCTACAGGATGTACATTTGCAGTTATCACCACAGATGCAGATTCCTCCTGTAAGAGACCACCGAAAGCATCAGCCATGAGATTAGCTGCCATTCTCTGAGTCAACTTGGGTCCCCATTGTGCTCATACATGCTGCAGGGTCTGGGGTATTTTCTACAGAACAGCAATGCCCAATGGAGTATTGAGTGCCCCAGGCAAATGAGGGTAACAGCCCATTTATGTGCAGAATATTAGCTCTCCTGAGTCCCGTATGCTGCTGAAGAAAAAAACAACCTCAAAGGGTTCCTGTTATCATCTCATTTCAGACCACTCAACTTCAGGAGCAAAGAATTAGGGTGGATGAAATCCACAATGGAATCTACTCTCAGCATTGGCTTGGGGAGTCAATGATATCCTGCCCACATCATTCATTCATTCAGGCAAACAATGATTAAACATCTACTGTGCATAAGGCAAGGTATTGGGCTAAGCAAGCAGCAGAAACCCGAAGATGAAAATGACAGCTGTTACCCTTAACCAGCTTAATTTCTATGGGGGTGGGGAGGAAGTAGCCAAAGAGAAGGGGGAGGGCCCTTCAACATGAATGCAGGTAAATGTAACCCAAGCTGGGGAAATGATGAGTGCAAAGGAGAGAGGCAGACAAGTCTAAGAAAATTTAAGGAGAGGGAAGACACTAACACATTATCTAAAAGTTGTGATATAAAGGGAGGGGTAAAAAGAGTAATTCATTAGTTTCTTTGCAGATAATTACCATATATAGTATGTTAGATGCCATATGTATACATACATATGCATACATATACACATACATATATATAAATACATATAGTGTTTTAATGCCATAAAAACCACAAATTCTTATTTTCTCATTATGCCTTGTATAAATCTTGAATTTTAACCAATAAAAACCTTTGTACGTCATCTAAGTCAGGGACTAAAAGTCACAGTCATGGTTTGAGGGGTCCTGGGCAGGGAGTCTAGCCGTCACATCTTACCTTTTTATAAACTTGTTCTTGTTATTATTCTAACAAAAACTTTAAAAATGAGTTTTCTTGAGATCCTTGCCTTTATAATATTGCAAATGGACGGGGTGGCTTTGAACATCATCTCCTCTGATCCCACCTTCTCACACCACTGTGTCATCCTGTGAGAGCAAGCAAAGTCTAATCTTGGAGCTCTAGAATCTAGAAATGCTTACAATGTCTGGTTGCATGTGTAACTGGGGCTCTCTGGGTCCCTCAGGAAACTTACACACACTGAGTCTGTGGGACAGTAAACTCACAGAATCGCTAGATCCCTGAGAAAGCATCCCTGTCATCTGAGGTCTGTACTGAGGTTAGGGAGGCCATAAAATCTATGCATGAGAGCCATACAAAGAGGAAAAGCTTATGCTTAAAGTCCTTATTCTTCTAAAGGGAGACAGATGTCAGGAAATTTAGCAATATCCTTAGTGGAAAAAGGAAAAGGAGACTCTCCTCATGCCTCAGTGGGTCCACCAGAGCTCAGCCCCACTTACCAGACATACAGGTACACTCTCCAGGGTCCATGGCCTCAGACAAGTGGAGTGAGCTCAAACAGGGATGAGGAGAAAGGATGCTAAGTCTGGAGTCCCAGAGGTTGCTCTATTTATAGCAGTGTAGGTGTGAGTATGGGGACCCACCCCTCCCCACCCTGAAGCAAGACGCCCTGCACACGGCCCTACTGAGACACCTGTTGGGGGTGAAGGGCCACACCGTTTAGTCATGTGGTTTTCCCAGAGAGGGAGAGGTGAAGGGGGGGAGGCAGAGCTGGCAGAAGAATTCAAGCTTGCCATACAGTATTTTATTTTATTTTATTTTTTGCTAGGGGTGTAGGTGACTTGCTTGTCCTGGCTATATACTTTCCACTGCATCATGGAAACTATGCAGTCTGATAGAAATTAAGCAACTACTTTATATTTTGGCTTAGTAAATGTGCACCTCTTTTGTTGTCTTTTTGTATAGCTATCTATTTACTTATCTATCATCTATCTCTGTATCTATTTACTTATCTACATCCATCCATCCATCTATCTGTATATCTATCTATCCTCAAGCCTAGGTCTTTAGATTCCAAATCTTGTGAGCTTTCCATCATACCTTGTGGCTCCTTGCACCCTGTGATGTCTTTCCATTATTATAGAGGCATCTGGTGTCACAGTGGATAAAACTCTAGGCTTGGAGTCAGGAGAACCTGAATTCAGGTCAGATCTCAGACACTTACTAGTTGTGTGGCCCTGGACGAGTCATTTTTTTTTTTAAATTTATAGCTTGGATTTCTTTTAAATTTATTTATTTTTAGTTTTCAACATGCACTTCCACAAGATTTTGAGTTCCAAATTTTCTCTCCATCTCATTCCTCCCTCCACCCCAAGATGGCATGCATTATGAATACCCCTTCCCCTAATTTGCCCTCCCTTCTATCTCTCCCCCTTCTCTTATCCCCTTCCCCTTCTATTTTCCTGTAGGGCAGGATAGATTTCTATACCCCATTTCCTGTGTTTCTTATTTCCCAGTTGCATGTGAAAACAATTTTTTAACACATGTTTTTAAAACTTTGAGTTCCAAATTTTCTCCCTTTGGACAAGTCATTTAACCTCTGTTTACCTCAGCTTTTTCAACTGTAAAATGAGGTTAATAATAGCACCTCCCTCGAAGTGTTGTGAGGATCAAATGAGATAATATTTGTAAAAGCACTTAACACAGTGGATGGCATATAGTAGGTGCTAAATAAATGTTTTCCCTTTTCTTCCCCCATTAGCCTTAGGATTTTCCCATACTCTGTTTACCTTCCACTGATGGCTAGAAATCATCAAACAAAACAATTCACACAAAGGTATAATTGACTAATAAGGGTTGAATGTATTATTCCTCCCAAAGGATTGAGCATTTTAACGGGGGATAGTAACTTTAACTCAAAAGAAAGGATTTTTAATGGTAGAATTTCAGATATTAGTAATTGGCCTGTGGGTAGGAAGGCCTCACCACAGTAGCTATAGTAGGCAGCTATGTATCCTGCCTATATTAATGGTTGACACTGCTGATTGCTCTTCTTACCCTTTTCCTGCTTTTATCTCACTATGATGAGGTGGGATGAGTGAAGATGGTACCCTGTGTTACCATCACTCATTCTCTCGGTACCTCTTCTGTGTAAACCCTATCTTCTGGGACAAAAAGCAATACTAACCTGTCCTTAGAAGTACCTACTACAAAAGAAAAATGAGCAATTACTCTTTCTTTTCCCCCCCGGAACGATATGATGAAACAACTTTTCTGTTATAGTAGGTACAAATTGTCTGTGTTATTATTAGTTTAGGGCCAAACCATTACTAGAATAGGAGTAGCTGAGTTTTGTTCCAGAGAAGAATCACCAGAAACATAAGCAGAAAGACTACTGCAGCCCTGCCATACTGTAGAGATGGCCCAGGGAGGAAAGAACTGCCCAGGCTCGGTCAGACAAAATTAGGCTTGGTTGAAAATTCTGCATTTGTGTATCTGGCTTTATTTTATTTGGTGTTTCCTCTTAATTCATCAATTAATTTTTCTAACCCTGACAGCAGATTCCAGAAAAGATTTATGTGTGCCCTGGGTCAAAGTTTTGTGTCCCTGACCAACAGAAGTCCTGCAGCAGGACAGGAACTGAGAGATTTAATGCAATCCACTCATTTTGTAAGGGAATAAACTGAAGTCCTGAGAGGTAAACTAGCTTTCCTAAAGTCACACTGAGGATTAGTAGCAGAATCAAGATTTAAGGGCAGCTAGGTGGCATAGTGGATAAAGTGACAGGCCTGGAGTAAGGAAGACTCATCTTCCTGAATTCAAAAAAGGCTGCAAACACTTACTAGCTGTGTGACCCTGGTCAAGTCACTTAATTCTATTTGCCTCAGTTTCCTCATCTGTAAAATGAGCTAGAGAAGGAAATGGCAAACCATTCCAGTATCTTTGCCAAGAAAACCTCAAATGGAGTTGTGAAAAGTCAGACACGACTGAATAAGATTTTAATTCAGGTTCTATGACTACAAATCTAGTGCCCTTTTTTACTATACCACAGAAAGTTTGAAATATTTGCTCTAATATACATAGCCTCACTTATTGCAAAATAAAACCTATGTTCCACAGATAGGAAGATTTTCCAGAATTAAGAAATATATGCATTTAAAAAAATCTAAAACATGTCATTTATTGCAAAATGTAGTGGCTAGAGAGCTGGCCTTTGAACCAGAAAAACTTGCGTATGTGCCTCTGACACATACTGGCTGCATGACCCTGGGTATGTCATTTAACCTCTTGGTGCCCTAGGCAATTCTCTCCGACAATTAAAGGCAGAGAAGGTGCCATCTTGCCTTGGTAGAGGGAATTTTATTCACCTAGAAGCTCCTTATATCAGTGAAATCATGGGTGCAGCTCCTGCGTTATCCCTCATTATGCCCTCTATGTGTTATATTCTAGGCAGCTGCTGCCTATCCTGTGTACCCCTAGCCCTGCTCTAATTGGGTGAATTCAGAAAAAGAAGGCTTGCTCAAACTAGGACCAGTTACGGGGGTGACTCAGGCTCCCTCAGGAACCACCCAAAGTTTCCAGAAGAGAAGAGAGGAGAAGAATAACCCCTGGAGAAGAGTTTGGTTGGGGAGGGGTTGGGGGAAGTTCAGCAGTAGAAGCGATTTCTAGCCTCCTGGAGCTATGGGTTCATGTTGTCCTGATGGAGAACTGTTCAGTGGCATTCTGGTACTTTGGTTTCCCAGCCCAAGAGCAGGATGATGGATTGAAAACAGCGTCCTGTTAATTAGGACAAGCCTTGGTGTGCTGTGCCTGGCTGTTTACTCAGCAAGCTTAACAGACTCTCAAGAGGCCCTGTTGCTGTCTTTTAATTATATGGGGCTTCAACTCCTTGGCTATAATTTAGTACCTACCAAGCAAGTGAAGACCTTACTTTTGCATACGGCCCAGAGGGGTTATGAATAAGCCTGAAGCCAGACAAATACATTTATTCATCCCTCTCAGCCAGTAGCTAAGAACTCTGAGGTACATTCTTCAGGATCACAGATTGGGCCATCAGATAAGAAATCCATGCTCCCTCTCTGTTTACAGGATGGAAGGAAGGCCAGGGGCCAAGAGACAGGACGAAGAGATTCACAGTTACCAAAAAACAATTTTTAAAAAATTATATTATCTTGTTCAGTGACTGTGACTGTGGGAGCTCTCTTTTCCAAATACTGTCTCTTTCCAAGCCATAGTGTGGGTCAGTCTGGTACAAATGCCCTTTGAGACGTCTGAATGAATTGGAAGTGCTCTGAGCCATTACTTGGATGGGGCGATCATGGATTTCTCTCTAGGGTACTGAAGTTTGGAAGGTGTTGATGGCACAGATTTTTTTTTTAAGCCAGCATAGGAGCAACTGAATTTAAGAGTTAGCAAGAAAAATTAGTCAAAATAAGAAATTACCAGTTCAAGATATCTCACTGAAGAAAATCAAGTGAAGTCCTTCTCCCCAGTGGAATGGCCTTGCTGTGTTTCATCTCCCCGGAATAACTGCTATTTCCCAGGGTCCTTATGTTAGTCCATCACTCTATCCTCTGTCCCCAGCTGAATTTGCCTTAAAAACTCAATTTAAGGCATTCATGTAGCTCACACCAAATGTATTATATGAAGCTTGTACTAGGTATGAAAAATGCTAGTTATGGCTCTGAAATTATGTTTCCAAAACAAGAAGGCAGTCTGATAGAATGAAAAGACAAGTAATGAAGGAATCAGGAGACTTGGGTTCTAATTTGATCTTGAGCAAGTTATTTCCCTTCTCTGAGCCTCAGTTTTCTTTCTTGTAAAATAGGGAAATCGGACAAGATTCTCCTCTAAATCATGTGCCAGCTCTATATTCTATGATATTTATCACTGATTCACCACTAGAGTTGGTACTTTGAGATATTTTTCCTATTACTGGGATGTATTGTGTTGAACTGTCTATTCTCTCACCCATATTCCAGCATTTTAGGACAGAGTGATGGATTGAAATTAGGACCCCGGGAAATAGCAAAGCCATTCCACTTGGGATAATGAAACATAGCAAGGCCATTCCACTGGGGGGAAGGACTTCACTTGATGTGCTTCAGTGAGAGCTCTTGAACTGGTAACTTCTTATTTTAACTAAATTTTCTTGCTAATTAAGTGTTAAATTCAGTTGTTCTTATACTGCTAAAATGCTGTAGAACTGGCAATAAACATAGTCAGTACAACAGTGGCTGTGTGCAGCCTTTTAACAGAGCACAGCTAACTAGGCCATCTGAAGATCAAATCTGTTCTCTTGGCCTTTAGATAACCATCCCACTGCTCTTAGTTACTAGTTAAATGAGTTCTCCCTCATAATTCTTCTCCTTGAAGCTATTTGTAGGTGGTTGTCATGGTTATGTTCATTATCATTACCCCTGAATCCACCATTAGGAAAGCTGTTTTTCCACTCAGGAGTCAGAAGGCCTGCTACTTACTACCTTAGTGATCTTAGTAAGGCCCTTTAGTTAATTGTTCTGGACCTCAGTTTGCACATCTGGGGAATTTAAAGATCATGAATGAACGAATGAA